AGCGGGGCCAAGATTATCCTCAGCCAGATAGTGAATTTGAAGACAGCCTGCATTACATGAGGCTCTCTCTCAAAATTTTACCAAAATAAACTGGTTCTGTTTTGTGGGAGTGTTCTAGAAAGCTTATAGGTCAGATGATAAACTGACGTGAGGTTTTTGCTGGCATGTAGTAACAGATGGCCTTATGGTTAAACTGTATCTAAGGTGTATTCCTGTCTAAAAAGTCATAAATGAAAGCAAACAGCTTGACACTATATAGAGGGTAGGACTGAAAGTCTAAGCCTCTGCCTCCTTCAAGAACTCCACCCAGCCTTCCAGGAAACACCAGAACTCTTGCTTGGTGTGGACTGCATTTTCAGAGACTGTGCTTCATGGAAGTCCCGCCCCCACACGCCTGTAGCAGGAACCAGGCAGATAGTGAAGGCGGCTGAGGAGACACTGTCTATGGCATCTAAAACCTGGTCCTGTTGTTTTAATATCAGTAACATTAAGAACGGGTACCTTAAATTATTTCTTCTTTCCAACACAGCTCCTTATTTATCACATTTTCTATAGTTATCAGAATTGTCCTTATCATAAGGAAATTACAATACATCTTGGTTGTTTGTGACAATCACGTGGAGGTGACGTGTTGCCAAGACTGAGCCATACCACTTAAATAAAAATCCCTAGCAGTAGCTGCAAACATGAATTTAAAAACAAACACTCATTCAAACAACATGGAGAAGGGCTAGGACTATAACTCAGTTGGTAGAGGGCTTGACTAGCATGCTCGAAGACCTGGATTTGATCACCAACAACGCAGAAGCAGGTGTTGGGTGCTGTAATCCCAACACTGGGGAGAAGGGTGTAGGCAGGAGGGTCAGAAGTTCAAGTCAGGCACAGCTATGTGGGTCATTCAAGGCTAGCCTGGCCTGTACAAGACCCTGTCTCAAAAAACAAAACAGAAAGCTCTCCAGGTAACTGAGAACTGCAAACACCACGTTCGGTGACTACGAGAGACTTACATATCCCTCTCCATTCTTAACTGAGCTCTTTTGTGTGTGGGAACGATTGGCCATCCGGGAGCCACTGCACAATGTGTACAGAAGATTGCATTTCAGCCCAAGCTTGTGTGGTTTCCCTTCTAGCGATGCGGGTCCTTGTCACATCTGACGACCCAGCGTGCGGCACTGTACCAGTCGCCTGGCAGTAAGTGCTTGTTCAACAGAGACCCAATACGGGACCCGAGGCAAGGTATTTATTTCTTCTGGGCCTCTCCTCTCTCACGGTAAAAGGGGGGTAACTATGCTACAGAAGCCGCTGGGCTTCTACAAGTACCAAACGAATGGGGAAACGGTTTTATAACCATCAGATGCTGCATAGTATGGATCATGAGCTTCCTTAGCTTGCCAGCGCTTTGGAGATGCCCCCCCCTCAAAGAAAAACCAAAAATATCCAGGCATTCTCAAATTGGCCCTACAGAGAAAGTAGTGGGGAGTGGGGGTGAGCATTTCCCGAGATGCTGGGCCTGTCATAAGCAGCAATGAGGGACTTCCACAGGAACAATGAGAGATACTCAGTGGTGGGGCATGGGGGAGGGCTCAGTGGTAGAGCTTGCTCAGGGCTCTGGGTTCAATCCTCAGCATCACCAAAAGAATCCAGAAAGAAAAGAAGGGTAGGAAGTAACTGTGTGTGCTAACATATGAGGCCCTGGGCAGAGGACACAGAGGACACACACACACACACACACACACACACACACACACACACACACACTCACAGAGAGAGAAGTCAAAACAGCTTTTACTGCACACACGATAGAAACTCCATTTAATTCCCCTTGGTTTGGTTTTGTTGTTATCTGTTTGTTTTCTGGTACTGGAGATAAACCCAGAACCTCTCAGCACTAAGCAGGCAGTCTACCACTAAAAACCACACCCCAGCCCCTCTCTAGTACTGCATTTCAGGAAGGGCCTAAGTTGCCCACGTTACCCTTGAACTGACTCTACTGCCAAAATGGGCCTTGAAATTACAACTGCCTCAACTTCCCAAACAGTTGGTCTGGAAACTGCATTTAATTTCTTCTCACAAAAGAGACTTGGCAAGAGAAGACATACCCAAAATACATCCTGCAGAAGTTAACAGGAGCCTAATTCACCTCCAGGCCATCTGGAAAAGGAGTCACCAGAAGCATCTGACAGGCATAATTAGCTCTTATGACTGGGGGTGGGGTGGGGAGGGAGAAGACAGACTGCACATCAAAGGGCCCTAGAGAGCGGCAGCCCAGTCAGGATGGCAGCTGACTCACACTGCCCTCGCTCGGCCTCCGCTTTGTCTGACATTCTAAAACCAACCCCACTGCCATAGAACAGAAGGGACTGTTTTTCTATTTTCACACGCACTTCCCATCCTTAATCAGACAGAAACATTTTTCCTTCCACTAACTCCATTCTAGAAAGGCCTTCCATTCCTAATCTTTTCCTCTTTCCCAATCAGACCCCATCTTAACATGCCAACTCCTTCTTTTCCTGCGTAACTAAAATGTACCTCACACTTCCCTCCCTGTCGATCACACGCGTGCGCGCACACACACACACAGCAGGCAACTTTTGGAGTGCCAACGAAGTCTAGCTTTCCTAATTCCTCCGTCCAAACACTCTGAGCAAGAATGACCCAGCTACTTCAGCGGGCGGGCATTCAACTGTCTCTCACAATTTTTATTTGTTTGTAGGTTGTTGGCTTGTTTTGAGATAGGGTCTTGTTGTGTAACCTACACTGGCCTTGAACTGGAGGCAATCCTTCTGCCAAAGAATTACAGTTCAGCTACTGATTACTTGTTTTTATCTTCAGATGAACTGTCATTAGCCCAAAAAAATTAAAAGGCAAGAATCAGGGATCTAGTTGAGTGGTGGCATGCTTGCCTGGTATGTGCAGGGATCAGGGTCCACTCTTCAATTCCACAAATAAATGTATAAACTAAAAGGACACACAACAATGGCCTTTCAAACACTTCTGGAAGAAAGTTACCACGTGCATCTATACACAGAAGCGCCCATGGCCTACTCAAAGCACTTCCCAAAGTACAAAAGGTGCGCCCCACTCACTCTTACGGGGTGGGTTTCCAGGTGAGCAACTGGGCATGAATCTAAAACAAAAATGAAAGCACCTAGGCAAGCAGAGACTGGGACTCCAAGAGAAGGGGGATTATTTAGACATACAGACGGTCCCCCCTCACCCCTCCCCCAGCTTGTCAGAGGAAGCAGCTTCTCCAGCCACCCCAGGATCTCCATCTCTCTCCCAACCCTCGCTAAGCATCCAGCCACCACCTGGGTGCTCGGCCCCTCATCCTGCTGGTCTCCGGCAGATCCTCCTGAATTGCAGAGGCTGTCCAGTTCCTGCCACTTGTATCCTAACAACCCAGCGGCTTCCCGGAGGGTCATCAAGCCTTCTGCTGTGGCTCCGTGCTAGCCAGGGGGGGGGGGGGGGGATGTAAGTGTTTCTGGGCTGCTGAGTCGAGTCCCATCCCTCTCCCGCAGAAACAACAGTAACAGGGCAGAAAGGACAGCGCAAGCCCAGGCGCCTGCCATAATCAGAGGTGAGAGAGTAACAGAAAATACTATTAGTACTGAAACTCCAAACTAGAAATAAAAAAGTTCCTGGCCCTCCAGACTCAGGGACTCTTCTAGACCAACCCAAAACTCAAGCCCTCCGCTCTCTCATCTTCTTCAGAAGGCTGTTTCAAAGGCAAGGATTCACAGAAAGACAAGGGAAGCCTCATGCTGTGAAAGTTTTGGGTTGTTTTGAGATAGGGCCCCATGTAGCCCAGGCTGGCCTCATATTCCTTATGTAGCTGAATCTGACTTTGAACCACCTTTGGTCTCCACCTTGTGAATTCTGGGCTCTGGGCATGTACCGCCACCTGGTCCCTGTGGGCTGGGGGTGGAAATCAGGACTTCCTAGGTGCTAGACAAGCACTCTACCAACTAAGCTGCATCCCCAATTCCCCCTGGGCAAGGTGTCCTTTTCAAAAAGGGGCTCTGCTGAAGTGTAAGGGCCTGCAATTTCCAGGGCGCCACACTGTTGTACCAGCTGCTCATTCCTGCAGTGAACGTCTTGAGCCTCCAGAGGGGAAACCATTATCTCCAGAGGCTTCCAGGATTAGGGAACTCAGCCAAGGAAAGGCACACTGCCAGAGGCTAGCGCTTCCCCCTTCTATAAGCCAGAGTTTCCTTCAAGAAATTGTGTGTGTGTGTGTGTGTGTGTGTGTGTGTGTGTACATTCAAAACACATGTATTTGTACTTTTCAGCATTGGCCTTAGTTGTACGAAAAGTTCCTAAAATTCGGTTCTAACCAAGGCTTTTCAGAGATAAGCATCCGGGGAAAAAAAACGATCCCATCGCCCAGAAAACTGTTCGCTGTCTTTGCTACTTGTCTCAAGCTCCAAACAAGGAATAACTTCACCAGAAGAAGCATGTGATCACCAGCCTGGCACTTTTCATATTTCCCATTAAAGCCCGCCTGCACCCCCAGCAGTCACTTAAAGCCTTTTCACTCAGCACATGACATAAGATTTCAGGTCCCATCTCAAACTGCAAAACTTGACCCGCTTGCCACCTGCTGCTTGGAATGCCTTAGTTCCTCGACAGACGCGGCTGCCTGTCGCCGCCCAGGCATTAGGTCTGGTTTTAGTTTTTGTTTGTTTGGGCGGCAACTCCCACTCCCCAGGCTGGCCTCGAACTCCTAATCCAACTGCCGCAGCCTCCAGGGTGCTGTGCCAACAGGAGTAAACTGAGAGGGCCGTTTCAGCGAGTCCACTTAAAACCGCAAACATGGCTGCTCCCTACAGGGACGAATGTCGGAGACGGGGCTACTTATCTCTTCCCGGTTCCCAGCCCCCGTGAGGCGCTGACAGCATGGCCCAGGTCCCGAACCCGCGGCCGGCCGGCCGGAGGCGCGCCTGCTGCCCGGGGAGGGCTGCACAGACGCGGGCGGCCTGCGGCCTTGCAGAGGAGCTCACCGTCGGTGGAGTTCGCCTGGGCCTCGGCG